GCTTCGATTGTCTGTTAGTTTCGTATAAATATTACATTAGATTTTGTAGAATGGAGATAACAAAAATAAATTTAAATGTCTTTTTCAATTACAAATTTTACAAAAGAATTCGGGAAAATATACCAAGATATTGAATCAAAATGTTCCAAGTGTTTTAGTGTAAAATAAAAAAGTTCAAAGTAATTTTATGATGATTTTTAAATCATAATTTGTACTAATTATTTATACATTAGTACATTTGCATATAGATGTGTCTTCGTATACTTAATTTCATATTATATATTTTTAATTGATTTATATTGCAAAAGGTGCAAAGAATCGTTTTCTCATTGACATTCAAAACCATAAATGCGATGATTAATGTGCGAAAAGATCAGCACACGCGGCATATTCTCGTGGAAATTCTCGAGGAAAATTAACAGGAATTCCCGCTAAATTGGCACTGATGTCAAAGCGATATCGTTGCATAATTAACGATATAATAATGCATACGAAATCATGGCCTCGAGCAGGCTCGAAGGAAATCCCGCCGTAATAATAAGCGGCGACGATATTTTCGCACGCGAATATTAACCTGAGGTTAACGTAAATCCCATATGATAAAAACCACTAACCACTTTATAGTATCTCTAAATGGCGCGACAGGTAGATAATAAACCTCCTCTTTCTATTTCATTTTCTCTTCGTGTAGAAATTCGCAATTCATGACTCGTATCACAAACAGCGTAGAAAAATGTTTTTCATTAAAGGAAAATGTACTCGAAACTCGTAAAAAAAATTATCATTAAATCATCGGCTCGAATCTTGAACAACTTGTGCATTTTATACAAAAGAATATTGTCTCTGTTCCGTTGTGAATTTTTTATTGCAAATTAAAATTTTACGAAGACCATTGCAGTTGAGCGATATTTTATAACAAGCCGGAAAAGTTTCTTCGGCAATGAAATAGGATATCGAGTTGCCCGGGTAATAAACGCGATTACATGCGTGGGACGTGCGTTTACACAGACACGCACACGTCTGCAACTCCAGTCTGACACTCTCGGGTATTACCCGCAGATTCCTGGTAGATGTATACATATCGGTAGACGCGCGTTCATACGCGAATACAATCGACCGAAGAAAATCATCGCTGCATAGTCTACATCCACGTTAAGCCGATGCGTAATAGAAAATGCGTCGGACGCTTTGCGTCACTGTCCTGACACACCTATGATTTCTACGCCTCTAAAAGCACACCTCGCCGAGTCTTTAATTGCCTTCACAATCGGTTATTATACGGCTATTATATGTATATGGTTATTGCACGGAAGTTTTCTCTAAACATTCTCCGCTTATTTAGTCTCGCTCGCGTCAACGAACGGCCGCTTCCCAGAAACGCGGAAAGATAATGTGATAATCTCCATCATGTGTCTTCTGTAGTAAATCATTACGGTATCGCTGTTACGCGAAGGTTTCATCGACGTAAGAAATTAATCTGAATGAATTATCACTTATATTTGAAGAATCGAGAGGAAACAGTGGCCGAGACAGGATAAACGGACGCGATGATTTAGCAGAAAAACGCTGACTGATTCTGGAAATTATGATGCATAATGCGAAAAAATTTTTATACACCGCAATACTACCGCATTATATACCGCAAACTAGTTAAATCAGGGTTGGGTAGTGTCTAGTTAAAAAGATAAAAGTTAAGTTAAAAAAAAGTTAAATAATTTTAACTAACTTGGTTATATGTAGACTGTTAACTTTTAACTGAATTTAATTACATTTCAGACTCTGCAACTTTTTCCATGTTATTATCTGAGAAGAGACAGAGAGTCGACAAACCTCTGGTTAACAATTAACCAGAAAATGAAAAAAACCAAGCCTTAAAATTAGCCGTGCCATAAACAAATCGCAAGATGCCATGCGTTTGCCTACATTGGCAGTCTCTGTATTTCAAAATTCACTGCCAGCTCTAAAATCTACTGTGTACGCGTACCATAGATCTTTAGCGCTGGTAATGAATTTTGGAACACAGCCATTATGTGGGTAACAGTCTATATGGTTTTGATTCTCGAACTCACGTGAAATTGTTTGCATATGAAATGGAATATATTCCGTGTAGTGTGAGCGATTGTTTAAACACTAGTTGCAAAATTCAATGCAATTTACGTGAACGTAAGTCTCTGAGATTTTATGTAAAAATCAAACGTTTAATTTTTAACTTCTTAATCTTTTTTATTAATAGCTTAACTTTTAATTCAATTAATCCGTATTACGGATTAACTTGTATCTTAACTAAGTTAATTTTTCATAGCTGTTAACTTTTACTTAAGTTAGTTTAAAAAAAGATAACTTACCCAACCCTGGTTTAAATTAAAACTTGTACAGCCTTGGCCAAAAGTATTTGCCACCCCCTCAATGCTTAGAAATGTAACTTCTTTTGACTCAAACCAACTATTTTACATACTGTTACGTATCGGCACGTTAAACTGAACAACCTAAACAAAGCATCACATCATAAACACGCAAGGACAAGTCGCGTAGTAAACTTGAATTTTGCTTGAAAGTATTTAATTTACTACGGACGCTCGAAGTGTGCACATTGCTTAATAATTTCCAACTCATAATGGCTCACTCTAAAGAATAATATTATTTTGCTACAAAAAATGTCAAAAACGTGCGAATTGGATTAAGCTGAACGTTTGAAAATGCAATTACTTTTGTGGAAGGAAACATAAAACACAAATCGCAAAAATTAAATGTCCTCGTAGTACTGTGAGATACACCATAAATCATTATAAAAAGACTGGAAGTTATCAACTGGTATTGTTCATTTAACCTGAATGTAAAATACTTTAAAGTTATCGAGGTTTCACACAGGTTGCAAATATTTTTGACCAAGGCTGTATATTATGTAAAACTTAATTTTCACTAATTGCGCTGCTCTTCATAATTAAAAATATTTATCTATGCATCTCCGATCTCAAGTCATACAATCTCCAGAATGTCTTTTATTTGTCAAACAAGTTAAAATTTGCAGGCTTAATTAATATTTATCCTCGCGTTAAGCGCTAATGCCAAATCGCAGGTGCGCTGAGGTGATCGCCGCGGGCGTCGCTCGACGATCAATTCATCCGCCGTGAGGAAAGTCGTCTCTGCCGAAAGTGAGTCTCATCGCGAAACCGTGAATCCGTCGTGAGAGTTTACGCCGGCCCATTGGCTGGGGACCAATAATACCGGCACCATTCTAACGCCGGTCGAAATGCCACATCCTCACGGGAGTACACACCGCCATGGAAAATCGCCGATGTACCAGCGGTCTAACCGCAAGTGTCGTTCCCAATACCTATATCCGATCGCAGACATGTACGCGCTTGATAGGAACTAAAAGCCGTTGCCGTACAAGGCACTACATTTTTCACGTGTACGAATTTTCGAAAGGTTCGCAAGCCAATAATCGTAAAATCGAATAAATGTGACTTTTTATCGCGTCATTTGTATTAAAAAATAAAGTAGTATTTTATTTTGTTAGAGACATTTTGATGCGTCGATTTATATGGATAGAGACCTAGAGAGAGACAGAAAACGATGGCTCATAAATAATTCCGAATTACATTAGGAACCTGATTTCTTTTACGCAGACCTCCATCAAAACCGGGCCTCCATCAATTATCTTGCATTCACGATCTTTTCGCCGCGGTTAATGTTTCCGCAATCGAGCGAGTTGATCGCGCTAGGAAAGATACGGCGGTCGACGCTTTCGCGTCGCTGAAAACCAAGGACGCCGCGATAGTCGAAGCCTCCTGTATTTAGCGATTTCGATGCCTGCAGGCCGCAATTATGCGACTAATAATTACGCCGCTCAATTAATTAAAATTTCTTAATTGGATAGCGATTCGTGGTTAAAATGCCTTATCGAGATGCATAAACAGCCATTTAAACAAAAATCCTTGAATCCTTAGCGCATCCATAATTATATCACCTTTTTCATCTTAACTTACGAAAATATCGATCGACGGATTGCGTCCGAACGGTTGATTCCAATTGCGCGTAAGTTCTTACTGATAATTCTTGCTTTTTTATTTTCATCTTTTACGAGTGATTTCCATTCCTAAGCCGGCAGCGGCATTCACGGCATCATTGAGAGCCGCTGCAGGAACGAGGCTTCCTAAACAATGCTCGACTCACTTTCACTTCGTCCCCACCGCCATGCCGGCGTCGCTTAGCGTCGCCGCGTCGTCGTCGTCATCGTCGGCGTCATAATCGCTTGGTTACGCGCCAAATGTAACATGCCTTCGATAACAATTAATTACAAAGGAAAATGCGCGGTAATACGCACGATAGTACGTGCGAGTTTATTTTTCCTTTCAACAACGTCGCATCGGCAAGATACTTTCTTAGATTGAAAAGGTGTGCGTCAAACGCGTGTAGCTCTGCAATAATAAAGTTTTTAGCACGGACGGCTTATAGATACAATCCTATGATAGAGTTTTCGCGAGCTTATGCTCCTCTAGTGCGCGAGTACTTTCTATTGTCTGATAAAATGATAAGATCTGTTCAGTTTGTTCAATAAAATCTATGTGGCGTCTCATGCTGGGTTAATATAAATAATATATTACCCTCTCAATTATAATAAATGTTACTATAATAAAAATATATCGTCACGTTGACGTTGTCAGCAAGTTGTCGCCGATTCGACAATTTAATGCGAAAACGTGAACATTACCCGGTATAAATAATTCAGTACAGTTTTATAATAAAATTACTATAACAAAGTCAATGCCCAGTTGCTCAATATAGTTACTCGTGAATATTCATCTTCGCCGTGCCAAAAAAAGCAATATATGTGCGACGAAGATGGATATGGCGTTTGTGAGACGCGATCGAGATTTGCAAGCAATGCGCAATTAACGGCACTATCATTAACCTTTCCGATTGAAATATTCATCATGCATTACCTAGCACAATGAAAAACGGATACGGCAACGAAGCACATAATGGAATAGAAACAAACGCAGTTATAGAGGAACGACTGTACTGAAGAACAATCGTGTACATCACAAAAAAGAGTGGCGGACATTTTTTCGCGAACCAAGACCCGTATCGTTGATCGCTGATCGTCGATGCTGATTGCAAACGATTGATAATGAAAATTTGATTTCTCGTTCCTCGAATTCCTTATCGAACGCGTTGTTTGCAATTTCGTCGAGAGAATCAACGGACGAGAAGGATGGAAACGGGATATCCTGCAGTGAATCGAGCGTAAGTCTACCGAACGTGACGCCCGACGTTTTGAAAGTGTACAATTGGGGAGTCGAAGCCCGCCGTCGTCGACGCGAAACGCGAACGGAGGTAGAGAGCGCGGAAGATGAAGAAAATGATAGAAATTCCCATGCGACTCTCCGCACGGCGGAGAACAGGGCGGATTATAAGAAATATCTGGCGCCGTTTCGCAAGCTGCCTCCGCCGGATTTGCAACGTCGCTCATTGTTGCGCGAACTTTTGTCGAGCGTCGTCTCCTACGAGGCGCCGATTGGCGGGCGCAACTAGATCGGGCCTGGGAAGATTGCAAAAGCAAGGAATTCTTAGCGGCCGGCCAACAATGGAACGGTCGCGATCGTCGAATCCGTTCCAGATTCGCGCGCTCGGGAGACAGCGCGGTCCGCGAACGTTCGCGCGACCCGCCGCTAATTGCCGCAATTAGGCTGCCGCGCTTTGCGCGTTGCAGTTTCGTCCGCCGGTCCCTCTTGATTTTTAACGCGATAACACCACCGGGAATGCGGACGTGATTAAAGCGCGACGATCGATTGCAACGTCGGAAAACTGAATTCTCTGTCTCGAACCAACATCGTTAAGAAAACATCAGGGTTGGTAAGCAGTTTCTCAAAAAATTAATTATTTTAAACAAAAAGAATAATCAACTTCAAATTTGTTTGACCATCGAGAGGAGAGTTTGCTTATTGTCACCAGAAACTTATAGTCAACCCAATTGGCTAGTTATTTAATCAGTTTATTACGCAACGTTTCGACCCTATTCTTTTGGGTCCTTTTCGAGTGATACTAAGTCAGTCATCGTCGTCGAATAAGACAGAGTCGAGTTATAAAGTATACGTGTGAGCACTGTGGTAGCTGGGCTCGACTGATGCAAATCTGCCCTTACGGAAAAACACTCAAGTTTTGAGTGTTAACACTTACGTAAGGGTAGATTTGCATCAGAAAGTAGAATTTCGACAGGCGGAATTGAACAAATTATTAAATAAATAAATTACGAAATTATTTTACTCATTGACTTTCTTTTTATTTTATAACTAATCTGGATTGTCCGGCGTCTACCGATATTTTCTCATGACTCACGCTGTTCGTAACAGTCAAGCGTTAACACTCAAAACTCGAGTGTTTTTTCCGTAAAGGTAAGTTTTCAGTGTTTTGAACATACGTAACTCGAGCACAAAGCAATCTAAGGCTGCATGTCTTTTCCCTCAATTGATTTATTTTCCTGCTAAGCACACGCGTCCTTACAGATAAATATCGAGATGTCTAACTGCGTTATCAAGTTATCTAACTCGATTCTCGCGGCACTCTTTTCGCCCCCTGTTTCCTTTGTTTATCCGCTATAATACCGTACGGCGTTTTGTCCCGGTTACTCTAGCGGAATGGTGTCAGTTACATAAGGACTCCTGCCGTGCCCAGAAGTATCGGAGGGGTTGCTGGAGAGGGAGATCGTCCGTCCTGGAGGGGATAAACCGAGAAAAGGAGAGAGGATTCTCGGCGAGCGAGCAAAGAGGACCATACGTGTTAGAAAGAGAGACATGAAATAGGGAACGAAGGAAAGGAGCGAGAAAAAGAGCGAGAGATCAGAGAGAGAATCCGCTCTATAAGGGGGGAGATCCAATGAACGAGAAGACCGGACGAAAATCCGCCAATCGCAGCCTGGTACCGCCATGGCACTTTTTAAGAACCGCTGCGAGAGGGGCGAAGAGGTGAAAAAAGTGAAAGTTTGAGCCAACGCTAGAAGCAGTCCCTCCCTCTTTGTTAAACCCCCGCCCTTCACTCTTCCCTACCACGGCTGGCGTTTGGTCGCTCTTTCCTTCTCTTCATCTCCTTCGCTCGACATTCGCTTGATTTTCTTTTTTTTTAAGGGCCTAGAAATTCTAGATGGTATCGCCATGCTCGATCTCTAATTTCTTCCTCGAAAATAAGACTTGTATCTTGCTCCACATGTACTTTCTACTTTGGCGTTAATTCTTTCACGTTATCGTGGGCATTCCTATGCCACGCACAAAATCTCACAACGCTAGCGCACCATTTTTTATTATAATATTCTACGAAACGTGATTGTCTTGTTTTTTTTTCCAGAATTATATAAAAATATTTTCAACTATTGAAAAATTATATTGAGAAATTTATCCGAATTTCTGCTTCTTCAGAATAATAAATTTTACAAATGAGAATGAATAGTATGCTTCCTTGTAGAATCAGAAAATATTTATGAAAATTTTTTTATAAATCTCAAAGAAAAATTAATATTTTAACAGTAATTGAAACTATCAAATTACTCATAAAGTATAAAATTATCAAATGACTCAATCCATTCATTGTAAAAATGTATATACATTTTTATCTTAAAAATGATAAAAAAACATCATGGATCAAAGCGAAAGAATCGCCGGTAGTTTTAAATCTTCCTATATTATAGATTAATTTTTAAAATTAAAAATGAACTTCGTAACGTTATGTCATCTAGTTGTATGGACGAGGTCTTTTCCACGAAGATTTCTCACATTACGCAGCTTACGCGGAGAACGATCCAGCGATGATAAAAATGCCAAAAATGGTCAATTTCACCGCGTAGGAGATCATAAAAACGATGATACGTTCTCTATATGCGTGCCTTTCCCTTTCTCAAGCGAGGTCGTCCGAGCGAAATCGAGTAACGAGATCAGCGCCAACCTACTTCCGGCAGACATACGGGTTACTCAGTAACCGCGACGTGCGAACTGTTTGTTCCTGTCAGCCGAGTGACTTCTCGGCGAAGTCTCGGCATCGTCAGCGGGGCAGAGCGCGACGAAGCGAACGAACGACCAGGCACTCCGGCGCGGCGCCCTCGATTTCACTTTCATTACGAGGCCGGCGCGAAGCGCTTCGCTTACGCTCATTCACTCTCGTTCGTACGTACATACGTACATGCGCGCCGAGAAATGCATACACGTACGTATGTACCGAGTACGCGCGTACCTAACCCCGTGCGAGCGCTTTATTTTTTTTATCACGGCCTCGTTATCGCTCGTAAAAATAGAAACCGACGGCGACGCGCTCCGGGGGAAAACCCGGCGCTCATCGACAACCGAATCTTCTTCAAAGATAGGAATTCTGGCGTCTTTATTTTGTAATCGAAATGAGATTTACTCTCATATGATATGAGATTAATTATTAGATATCTAATAGTATGTACAAGTAGAAAAGTTTGATTGCTAAGATATTGATATACATTCTTTAGTTTGTTTCTTCTTATTAGCCCCATATAACAAATGTGGATTAAAAGGTTAAGGAAAGGAGAAAGAATGACTAGCAGAAGAATAAGAATTTCGCATTTTTAAGAATCCAGAGTTGGGCGTTTTTAAGAATCCAGCGATTATCTATTCCACTCCCTAATTTTAAGTCGGACGTTATTGGAACATGCCGTTGAAAATTATACTGTTGGCAGCGAGTGGCAAAGAATGCTAACGAGCGGCAAAAATTTCCCTAATTATGGGAAAAGTAAGAACCGTCGTAGGCCATAATGCATTCAGGGCATGCCATTAACAGCTGCGAGTGCCCTTCTATTTTCGTAGTAGAAAGGCACTTTGTGGGTTAATGGCGCGCGCTGAATTCTAAACAGTGCTTAGGGCATGCCGATTACGCGATCGAGCACCGCTGATGCGCCAACATTGATGCTCGAAAATTGTAAGTGACAACATATTACTTTAGCGCACCATCCAAAATTTATTCGATTATCAAATGGAATTGTTGTTTTGAAAATATGTAAATTGGTAGATTCCAATAGCTTTAATAGTCAGATAATTACTTACTATTCTTAATTTTCTTTAATAATTTATGAATAATGCAGCATACAAATATTTATTTGTATTTATTTAATAAATTTCAAAAATTTTTATTATATTTAAGTTTGCATTATAGAGTTAATTCACTTAGATCTAAATAAATACGATAAAAGTAATTTGCTGCATTATCTACGCGAATTTGCTTAACTCATTTTCTCACGATGATAGCAGCATCATCTGCCGATGTTATTACATTCTTTTCACGATTTCGTTCCTTCGTACCGTAAAATTTTACAATCATCATCGAGGGTAATATGCGATGAATAACAGCTCTTTACTAGCATGCTGAAAGTAGCATTTTTCGCCAAGTCATCTAAACATTACTGACGTAATATCATCAAATTCACAAGTGTCGTAACCTAATTGCAAATAGAAATTTTGTGCCAGTTTCTACATTAAATTGAGTCCGAAGAAAGCTACTATCGAGATAACTTATAATATTACGCAATATTACTTTATATAATGCGAATAAAAAAAAAGTTTAATATCTCCAACGAGTTTTACTTACTTCCTGGAAGAATTCTTGAGATTTTCAATTACAGCACGATATTAATTCACATTAACATAAATGTCTATGTAAATAATGAAATTGTGTGTATTGTATATAAAAATAGTATGTATAAAATTATGTGTACATATATACACACAAATACTGAACATGTATATGTATACGCATATAAATTTTAGAAAAGTTTTACAATTCCCCGATATGCTTTTATTTATATAGTTTCAAACATATTCCACCGCGAAAAAAATTTTTTCTATCACCGCAAACTGTAAAAAAAACTGATATTCCTTCATACAATTTAATACGTAAACGTTTGCGCGGTACATCATTAAAAGATAATGAAGAAGATTAAATTACCTCGATAAAACGTTTAAATATTTACACAAGGTGTTGTAAAATCATTATGGAAGTGTAATGTTCAAGCTTGATATTATTGTTCTTTTCCTACATGTTCCAATAGTTCAATATACCAGAAAAACATGTTATGACCTATATATCTAACTTGATAGTAAAAATTAGTTTATCCTCAAAGTTAGTAATCCTCTTCAACAAATAATTACACAGAATATTTGTTGCGGATGTAAATAATACAGTGAAACATTCAATTTCATTGTATGTACGTGAGGTAGAGCAAACTAATAATAATTTTTAATCTTGAGACCAGAAATAACTTCTATCTTAACGGACGGTATTTTTATCAGTATATTTAGGGAGTAACTTCGGTTTTTTGCACATTGACTTGAGATAAAAATAAATTGTTACAGTGCACGGAGCTTCTGTTATCAAGTAGTCGCGGTATAATCCTAGATAATCTTTAAAAAATACTGCTGGAACGGAAATTGTTTCAAGCAAACTGACCACTGTGCGACTTTACTAGCAATGCATCTTTTTTTAACACCTTGTAAAAAAAACTAGTCATGCGTACAAATATGCCATTATATGTAATTATGTAAGGAGAGCAATTATAAACCTGATGTTATATTCCACACTTAAAACGCGAACAAAGTTAATTAATTTACCTATAAATTTACTTCTAAATATGACGTAACGAGACATTGTATGGAAACATAACGCTAGCGGGTGAATTTATTAAAGTTTTTATTCGGCGTGAACTCTCGACGCCGCTATTATCAATGGCAAGACATTTGTTTTGAATGGAAATACCTGTTATAAGTTTCGAACGCTCATGTTGGAAAAGTCTCGGTGCCATTTGCGATATCGCATAAATAATGGAAATGAGGAGATTAGTAGGATGCGTATGAAATAGATTAGTATTTTGCTAGTCCACATATTCCGTAATAAAAAATATTCAAAATTCCATATTCTCTAACAAGAAACTCCGTTGCAAAGGTTACGCTAAAGAGATGGGAAAATGACTCCAGATAAGAATCATCCGAAAAAATACTTCCTGAATGAGTAGATCTGCTTGTTTAGGAACGAAGGAGGCAATTACTGATTTTTTAAGTTTTTAAATTCAGCAAACTGGAATTCACGAGCGCAACAGGCGAGATTCGCTCAAAGTTTCTTAATGGCCAAATTTACAACTCGGTATTCAAATTTTATTTAAAAACATCTGCCTAGCATGAAATTTATATCAAATGTCGAGTGTCATTTCTGAGATCACTGTCGAACCTTGGACAGCGACCGGACCGGAGTCTCGGGACTCTTTCTAATAATAAAATCAACGAGAACAGGATCCGTGCCTAATACGGCGTACCGACGATAGGAATGGAAACGACGAAGACGGGGCGGAGGGGAGTTTCGAGAAACCGTCGGCGTCGCGAGGGAGATCGACATAATCGGTGAAAGTAACGTGCCCACTACCTTGGCCTTAGGTTAGCGGATAAAACGAAGTACAAACCGGCATCCCGGCTAGCGTGCGCCATAACGGGGCACGTAACGTAACGTCGTCGTGTCACTTTTACCGTGAACGCATGCTCCACATACGCGCGCCCGCCCCAATCGAAGTGGGTTGGCTCGTAGATGCGATTCGCTTCGGGCGACGGCGTATGGTATTTCGTTCGAAAACGAAGGCCAAGGCCTTCGTCGTCGGCGCCGTCGTCGTCAAAATGGCGCGTCGCGACGACGTTTCCGCTATGGAATCCCCTACGGTCGCGTATTTTGCAGCGTCTTTTTATAGAGGTACGCTATCTTTAATCCTACGATTGCTGATGTAGCACATAAGCAGATAAATATTCTAAAATAGGAAAGGAAAAAGGTCGCGCGCGCGTTGAGAAAATCACACGTCCCAGTAGCTCTTCGCTTTTTAATCGAACTTTTAAAAAACACCGATAACACACCTAAAAAAAAATTTAGTTAGATTAAACAAATAAAATACGTTGAAATCATGTTTCTTGAATCTACTAAATGTTTATTTACTTCTACTAAAACATTTGCTAGATATAAAGAAACCGATATAAATTCTCTTAGAAATTCCAGCCTCAATCGTAAAATAAAATTGTGGCTAAGGTAAAGAAATAATTTCTTTGAAATTAAATAGAAGTCTAATGAGGTGAAAATTCAAACAAACTTTTTTCTGGGTGTAACGAAGATAAAATATGTCGACGCGAACACTACAGCAAGTAAATCAACATATCTTGTATAACAATAAAGTGCTGTAAACTTCTTAGGCACAGCTCGTCGCATCCCTGTCTGACTGTTACGGCTTCTACTACTAATTGAGAATAGCCTCGTTCAAATTCTTATATCCAGAAAGAACAATCCTAAATGCAATCGATGCACACGCAACCGCGTGCGTGATATCTACAACTATAACATCGACAAGTCGCTAGTAATGTCGTAACCTTGACTCTGGCTAGCCAAGCAGCTGGCTGCTAGGCCAGGAATAAGCTCGATGCGCGGTTACCATGTTGCGCTGCTAATATTAGCGGACGCAGCCGTATGTACTGCGAGTGACCGAATGACCGAGCTAGTGCTCGTTGCATCCGTCTCGCGATTTCCTTCTCACCGACAATCGCAGAAGTGCTGACAAATCCCAAGGGCAATCCCAAAGAAAATAGATGCAAAAATACGGTTCATATTACGAATGCAAAAGAGATACGCGAGAGACCACGCTAAATATCTTTGTACAATTAGGCAAAGATAACAAAAAGATATTCACGCACGGTCGCTCCCGCATAGTGCCCGTGCGCGTACTCTAGGAAAAAATACAGCAACCCATTTTGGGGCCCACAATTAGTAATCGAATTATTTGGATTGTTCGTAACTCTAATGTTTTACGAATTTTACCCCGCGTGAATTCTATCTATATCCAGGATTTTTAAGTAATACTAATCAATTCTCTCAATTAGTTCTGTCGGTACTCAGTAACGCAAAGATAATTTTCACTTAACAGGCACTAACCGAAATGTTAAGTTGCTTCACTATAAAAAAAACGGTCAAAATTTTTCCCAGAGTAGAGTTACGAACAATCCAAATAATTCAATTACTAATTGTGGGCCCCAAAATGGGTTGCTGTCTTTTTTTTCCAGAGTATGTGATTCAAATGTGTTATATTTAAAAGGAAGCGTAAAAATATCAATCTTAAAAATAAGTTTTCTAAAGTAAGAAATATGCCATCCTGCTACAAAGTTCATGAATTTGTGACTCGGGCGGTTATCAGATACGTACAACAATGTAGTCATGCATGACATTAGAGTATTCATAGCACATGTCACTAGGTTGCATACATAACAAACTGATCCAGTTACATTATATACGTGCGATTTATACCTCTCGTTAGCATTACAAAGAAAGTAAGAAACCACTATCTACCGTGACAGCAAAAAATATTTTTTCCTCAATTTTCCTGAAAAGAGATCAATATATTTGCAATAGATCAGGGTTGAGAAGTAACTCGTTACTTGTAACGAAGTTACAGTTACAGTTACTTCTTTTTGCCAACTCTAACTTAACTTCGTTACTTTTTCTCCATCTGTAACTGTAACTTAACTCAGTTACATTTTTTCGATAACTAGTAACTAATTTAATTAAATTAAAACTAATTTAATTAATTTTAATTTTTTATAATACATCTAATGTATAAATTAAAACTAATTTTATTTAATTAAAACTCTCGAATTATGTCCCCCTATCCCTGACTATCCGAATTCCTACCTACCCGTATTCCGATCTATGGACCTACTTATCCAATTTCTACCTACCCGTGTTTCAACATAATAAACCTACAAATCTTTAACTAAACGCGACGCGATTTTCTAGGGGTTTGACTTGGAGTTTAACGCGCCCGCGGGATTTTCTAGGGGTTTCACTCTCGCACATATGCGAGAATGTATGTATATAGAAGCATAATCCACCTGAATTGTAATAAATCAAAAGAAATCAAAGTATACTTTGTACAGCACCTTACTTAGGCACTCCATCAAAGTGGCCAATATTGACCACTTACCTCGTCGTAATTAGTCCTTCGTTGGGCCAGATTGGACGTACCTTTCGTTGCTCCCGGCCATACAATCTGGTCATTTTGACCAGAGATCAGGAAGGAAGAAAACTCCTTCCATAGTCGGTTATCGTCACCGACAAATATTTCGTACGGTTCGAATATACGAGTGTCGATCGTATCGCAAAATGCACGACCACGAAAGGTTAATTAAAGGAGAATATTAATTAAAAAAACTACGGTATGTACGAATCAAATTTATTTTTACTTCCGTTATTTATTTAAACATATTGACCATCTCTTCGTAAAATGATCTTTGAATTCAAAATTCGAATAGATATAGAAAAAAATTTACTTCGCGTTATAGTGATTTTAATCATATTCCTCGATAAATTAAAATTTATAATATAGATAAAATTAAATAATTAAGTAATTGAAAAGTTTTCCTGAAAAACTGATCGCGAAAACCGACTGCGAAAACCGACCGCGAAAATACAAAGATGCGTGTGACTATACATGTATTCATGCGAGACGCATCTTGAAAGTACGTATATCACGTACATACATGTACATACACACATACAAATAATAAATGATGTGAGATCCAGAAAAACGAAACTTAAATTCTTTCACGATTCCAACCGACATTATAATTGCAT